TCTATCCACTTGAAAAGTTAACGATATTAAACATACCTGAAACAGGAGCTGCTTTGTTTAACAATCCAATGTCTTCCTCAAACTCCGACGCGAACACCGACGAAGGCAACTTAATTCCAGTGCTCTTGAAAAACAAATTAGTGGTTAAATTTAGAAAATTTCCGAATTACTGTACTGGTTTAAATGTTTCCATACATTAATGTCCACCTAGATCAGCGGTTCCCAACCTGTGGGTCGCAACTCCTTTGGAGGCCGAACCACCTTTTCATGTTATTTCCAATGGTTTTAGGAACTGAGACATCACTCCTCTATCCATCTCCAGGTAGTTCCGCCAACCTGCAGATACGCCCACAAAGGAGTACTAAGCATGATGACACCATCGTCCTAATCCCATCACATACCCCTTACAAATGCAGGTGTAAAGTAACAGGGTTGGCGCCATAATGTACTTATGCGGACCAGTCACACATGTGTAGAGAGCAGATACTGTGTAGAGAGCAGCTGCTGTGTTGACATCAGCAGTAGTGGAGGTAAAACGACACTTCGTGAATTATAATTACTGGGTAAATGTAAAATCATGTACATAAAATCATCAACTACTGTAAAAAAAAAATCTGTACCATGAGAACTTAATCTGGATGCTGATCGGTTTTTTTATATTCAGCTGTGGTTGATGTGAATACAGCCCCCTTGGGATAGTATATTAAAAAAACAACACAGAATGGTAAATCTTTAAGAAAACTTTAAGAAAATTAAGAAAACTTTAATGAACTGTATTGACTAAATTATGCCATGTATCATCTTTTGTATTATTAAAGTTATTGTTACCATATATATATTCAAGTATAAGCCAACCCAAACATCAGCCAAGGCACCTAATTTTACCACAAAAATGGCATTAAAAATGTGCTGAAAAACTCGGCGTATACACGAGTATATACAGTATATATTATTTTCATTAGCAAACCATCCCATGACAATGGATTGTGTAGAGAAGAACATTAAGAAAAGAAAATATAGTGAGGATTTTTTACAGTATGGTTTTACCTCAATAATTACAGCAGGGATTGAGAACCCACAATGTCTTGTTTGTTGTGAAGTTCTATCAGCCGAATCTATGAAGCTGAACAAACTAAAATGCCATTTTGATAGCAAGCATCTGAGCTTTGCCGGCAAGGATACCAACTATTTTAGAAGCAAAGCTGATGAACTCAAGAAAGGTAGACTTGATACTGGTGGCAAGTACCAGAGTACCAGAAACATAATGTAGCAGCTGTTGAAGCTTCGTATTTGGTGGCGACCACCAGAGCTATGAAACTTCACACCATTGCTGAGGATTTACTGTTGCGGGGGGCCAAAGACATTGTTCGAGTTATGATCGGAGGCCAATTTGCTATGAAATTGAATGCAATTTCCTTATCTAACAACATTGTCCGCAGAAGAATAGACAACATGTGTGATGATATTCTTGATCAGGTAGTCCAGGAAATTAAATCTGCTCCACTTCCAATAATTAGCATCCAGCTTGATGAATCTACAGACATTGCAAACTGTTCAGTTACTGGTTTACATGAATTATATTAACAATGGCGACTTTAAAGATGAGTTTCTTTTATGCAAACCTCTTCAAAGGACAACTACTGCGCGTGATGTATTTGACACAGTTGGTTCATTTCTGAAAGAGCATAAGGTCTCTTAGGAAAAGGTTTGTGGTGTTTGCACAGATGGTGCCCCAGCTATGGTAGGATGTTGATCTGGATGTCAACGTTTGGTACTGAATGAGTCAACAAAAGTCATCAGAACTCACTGTATGATTCATCAGCAAATATTAGCAACGAAGATGCTGCCACAAGTGTTATAAGAAGTAATGAAAAGCGTCCTAAGTTCTGTCCATTTTGTAAAGGCGACTGTTTATAAACAGTCGACTGTTTTCGCAACCGTAAAATGAATTGGATGCACCAAATAATGCTCTGCTATTTCACACTGAAGTGAGATGGTTGTTGAGAGGAAAAGTTTTAAAACGTGTCTTTGAGCTTCATGATGAACTCAAAACCAGGTCAAGAAACAGGGAGAGTGAGCTGTGAACATGAAGGTGGCAGTCAGAGGAATGCCAGCAATGGCTGAGTCAGAAGAAACATAATGGCAGAGGGTGTGGCCAGCAGCTAGGCGAGGGGCCTGTAATTGATTCTCTGAGTAGCAAGACAGAGCTAACTCCGCAGACACCTTGATGATGGACCTCTGGCCAAGAAAGGTTAAAGGGTTTGCTGACCTGAGTGAGAGCGGTCATTAAGCAAGGTTTAAGGCTTCAGATTTAGGTCTTGGGCCTCCACTATCCTAAAGTTGAAGTTTTAAAACATTCACGATTTTCCTTTTGAACCAGTGTCTTGATTTTCTAGGCTGCTGAAACAATATTAAAACCTGGCTGGTTTTAAATAGAAATGTATTGTCCTCCTACAGTCCTAGAAGCTGTCGGTCCAAGATCCAGGGTTTTGAGGGTTATAAAATATAGTGATTACCTTTGCAAATATGTTTCAAACTTTGAAAAATAACCGCAGCAGCAGCAGCAGCATATACATGAGTCTGTTGTTAGGTGCTGTGGAGCCAGTTCCAGCTTTGTACACTAGAACACTGCTTACTTCTGTGCCTCTCACTCTCCTTGCTTCCTTTGAGCACTTGGTTGCAACCACTGTGTCGCTTCATCTTGTTGACGATGGATCTTCCTCTTTTTTCCTCTCCACAAAGCATGATGTCCTTCTCCAGGGATTGGTCCCTGGCGGTATACTGGTTATGTCTTCAGTGGTTGGCAGTTCGAAACCACCAGCAGCTCTTTGAGGGAAAGACTGGGCTTTCTACTTCTGAAAAGTTAGTCTCAGAAACCCACAAGGAACCGCTGTGAGTTGGCATTGACTCAATGGCAGAGTTTGGATTAGACACATGCAAAATACACGAGGCCATCTTTGCCCCTAAGGAGCAAAGCCTTCTGCTATACTTCTTCCAAGACAGATTTGTTCTTCTGGCAATCTATAGCCTACTCAACAGGTTTTGCCAACACTATAATTCAAATCCACCAGGATCTTCTCCGTCTCCTCACTGTCTAGTTTTCACATGCAGATGAGGTGAATGAAAATACCATGGCTTAGCTCAGAACAACTCAGTGACAGCTTGGCTATTGAACAAGAAAGTACGTCTTATGCAGATTTGCCCAATGCTGTTTGACACTTTGTCTGAAGAGTCGCAGATCCCAGAGAAATGGAAACTATGACAACTTTAATCTTTCTTGTTTATCATGATGTTGTCTATTGATCTACTTACAGGCTTTTTTTTTTTTTTTTGTAATCCACACAGAAGGCTGTATTCTTCAGTCGTCATCAATATATGCTTCAAATCCTTTTGCTTCATCAAGGAAGGTTGTGTCATAGCTTTCTATGCTCCACAGTAAAATGTCTTTGCATAGTCGATAAAACACAAGTAAACCACCTGTCTGGTATTTTCTTCATCATCTGACATCAGCAATAATCTCCCTTCTTCCATATCCTCTTCAAAATCCAGCTTGAATTTCTGGCAGCTCGTTGATGAGGTACAGCTACAACGGTTTTTAAATTATCTTCAGCAAAATCTTACTGGCATGTGATAATGAAATTGTTCAATAACTTTTGCATTGCTGGATCACCTTTCTTCGGAATGGGCGTAAATATCAGTTGGGGGCAGGTGGCTGTCTTCCAAATTTCTAACAGACTAGTGCGTGCTCACAGCACGACATCAGTTTGTTGTAAGCCTTCTTCCCATTGGTGTTCTGTCAATTCCTGGAGCCTTGTTGTTTCCTGTACCATTCAGTTTTACCAATAGCATCTTTCAGTTTGGAACTCAAGCCTTGAGCCTTTCTTCAGTGTGTTCTTCCTTTTGGTCATCTAACTCAAATCTTTGCATATTTTGTACTACCGCAGTGCATAATTTAATATAGCTCTTCTAATCATAGTCTTTGTAACTCCCACCAAACGACCTATTTTTTTCTAACAGGTGTGGGGGAGAAAAGGTGGAGAAAGATATTGACACATTAAATGGTCGCTAATTGTGATTGTTGGGTATAAAACGAGCCATCGCTTAAGCAGGAAGGGGGTTCGCACTGACATCAAGAATGAAGAGCCATGAATGGAGTTAGTCCTTTGAACCCCAACATCCCTGGTACATTGAGCCTACTTGATCCAGGAACACAACAGAAAGAATAGCTCCCTGGTCCCAGAGTAAGTAAAGCCAAGTGCCTTCAGGCTGGCAGGTAGCTCACTTGCCTAGGGTGACTCCACATGTTTAATTGGGGAGCGATGTGTACTGAACTACAGAACTAGAGCCATCTGCGTTTGGGCTGAGACTTACGGTGGAGTGTGGTGCTTTAGGGAACTTCTGTTTAGCAGCACTAAAAGAACTTTGTAGCACTGCCCGGGCGGGGGCAGGGGGCACGGACCATATGGCTGAGAGACCAAATACAGAAAGACTTCTCTCTGGGTAAAGAGGCTGTCCTGACTAGGAGAACCATGCTGTGAGCATTTCTAATCCTATATTGTAATCTGTTAACTTCCCTAATAAATCCGGATTGTCGGTATGGGGTATGAGTTCTGGGTGACTACTACAATTAATTTATTAAACTCAGCTGGGAAATGGATAGTGCTGTGGGAGGGGTAGCTGATGTCATAATATGCTAAGGTTGGGTAGTGATGGTAGACCTGATCTATGCTCCTATGACTCCTAAAAAACTGCTTTGGGTTTCATTGCCCTTCCCCCTTGTGAAGCCTGAGGTGAGATATGTTTGTGTTTTTTTAATACACATACAATGTCTTCTCTTCAGCCCTCTTACATCATCATTCCTTCCTTTACTTTAGCTCTTCTATGTTTAAGAGCAAGTTTCAGACAGAGGCTCTTCTGACACCCCTTTGGTCTTTTCTTTCCTGTCATTTTCATGACTTCTCTTTCTTCATGATATTCCTGATCTCCTCTAACAACTCTTCACGCCTTCTCTTCTGATGGGATGCCCTCAGGTCTTATTTTGGCTCTCTTGGACCTGATTAAATTTTCTTCAGCTTCAACCTGAACTTACATACGAGCAATTGGTGATCTCTCCTACAATCGGTTCTTAGCCTTGTTGTGATTGCTGACAGTGTTTTCATTGACTTTCCCCACAGATACAGTCAATTTGGTTCCTAAATAGTTCACCAGGCGAGGTCCTTATGCACAGTTGCTGTAGTTGTTGAAAAAGGGCATTTGTAATGAAAAAGTCCGTTTAGTCTTGCAAAATTTTATCAAGTGATGTCTAGCTTCATTTGTATCACCAGGGCCGTATTTTCCAAGGGCCAATCATCCCGTGTTCCCAACTTTCACATCCATTCACCATAATTATCAATATGCCTTGATCGTGTGTTAGACCAATTTCAAGCTGAAGTTAGTAGAATCCAAATCTTCATCATTGGCTTTAGTAGTGGGTGCTACATAAAGGTGAACAACACTAACTGGCTATGCTAGTAGGCATACATATTATCCAAGCACAGAGAGTAACCCAAAGATGCAACGCCCTTTCCTCTCAATGCGACAAACTGATAGATGAGTAATGGGGAGTGGAGTGTTGCCAATGACTGTTTTTACTCAAAATGAAGAATTAAAGTTAGTCTTAAAAGTTTTCTCAGTACACTGAAAGAAGTTGAGCCATTGCTCAGCCCCTCACCTCCCACAGTTGGTCTTGGAAGGGAGATAATTAGTTAAGTACTCCACTACCGATGTAATGGTATTGGGGCAGGGGGAAAAGAACCAGGCTGGTTTTACAATGAAGGGGCGTAGCAGGGCATCTAGAGCACAAGAGGACTAAAGCCAAGCTAGTAAAAGCAAAGCTGTGGTTATTATTACATCTTTCTTCAGGATGACACCCTGAGACTTTATCGTAAGCAAGACTTAAAGCTTGCTACAGAATATCATATATACTTGTGTATAAGCAGAGTTTTCCAGCACATTTTAATGCAGTTGTTTTGATAAAATTAGGTGCCTCAGCTGATATTCGGGTCGGCTTATACTCGTGTATATACGTATTCTATCTTTAAGTAAATAAAGAACAGAATCCACTCTCTAGCAGTATTGTGGGTAATAAAAATGTCCCTCAAGAAAATCTACTTTGAATAAGAAAACAAAGATAGTAACAATGGCATGCAACACCAAGTTCCAATAAGCATGTGCTCCCATATTTACTTAAGAGAATCAAAATGGACTGCTGGTTGAGAGGAGCAACAGGTATTTTCATTATTACTGGTCTCACCTGCGCTCCCTTATGAAAGCATGCAACCTTTACAGAGGTGTTATAGAAGGGAACATTCGGCAAAGGTTACCTTCCACTCTAGAGCAGAACTTCTGATTAACATAAAGTTTAAATATTTTCACCTACTTTCCATCTACGGAAAAGGTGCCTAATATAACCGTATCTTTTAATGTACTGCTCTAAACCAGTCTAAAGGATTTGACGCCTGACACCAGAGAGCAGATGGTCATCTCGCCAGTGGCCCGTGCATGCACCCACATACTGAATAAAGCCATGGCCACACTGCTCTTTAGGCTCTTACTATTTCTTGCCTCCCACTCATCAGACCAACCAACAAAACCCAAAAGCAATTCCCTTACTCCCCAAACAAACCGAAACCATTATTTCAATTTAGAAATGAGGGGCTCTTCCTTCCCCTCTCCCCGCACCATTTTATCACACTGAAATTGCGGAAACACCTTACCGGAATGGCTAGAACATCTTCTTTCTCATCTCTCCTGTCGTGTGCACTGAAGCCTGTGGGAATCAGCTCTGAGGGTCCAGACGGTTCTCTCAGATGCTGCAGGTAGTCGTAGTCATCATCAAAGAACACACCGAATTTTCTCTGTTCTGCTCGCCTTTCTTCATGATTTACCTTGGACAGTAAGCAAGACCAAGGGTAAGACGCAGAAACATCACAACGTGAGCAACTTTCTGAAAAGGCTGCAGGGGGCACAGGGAGATATTAGCTGACAGCAGTAAGAAATTTAGAAAGAATTCCTGACAAACTGGGGAAACACAGAGCAACCCAACTGAAGTCAGTGAAGTGCAATGGATGAAAATAATTGTTTCTATTAACAACTGTTATACCAAGAAAACTACACGGCACACATTTTATGACGTATTCGGTAGGTTAGGGGGCTTAGAAGGCTAAGTATAATTTCTTGTCTTTATATGCAAAGGAACTCAGCAGAGTAGGGCAGAAACGGCTTTACAGAAAATCACCCACCCACGGCTAACACCCCACACTCTTCCACATTACAGTTTATCAAGGTTACTCTGTGATGAAAATGATCAAACCAACATTTTAAAGCCCGCCCCCACGTCCTCCTCTCCACCCCCACCCCCACCGGGCATTTTCAAGCATTAATCAACAAGGAGCCCTGGTGGCATAGTGTTATGCATTGGCCTGCTAACCACAAGGTCAGCAGTTTGAAACCACCAGCCACTCTTGAGGAAGAAAGGTGAGACTTTCTATTCCCAGAGTTACAGTTTAGGAATACCAGAGCAGTTCTAGCTGGTCCTATCAGAATACTATATGTCTGGAATCAACCCAATAGCAGTGAGTGAGAAATGACAAGTTCCAGTATTTTCCAATTCATGAGCTAAATCAACAGGTGTCAAATGCAGTTTCTGATTAGGAAATAGTATACCTAGATAAGCAGCCATTGAGATATGATCACGCCCCCCAGGAACATGACTTCTGGCATCACAGCAACAGGGGATTTAGTAAATATATACTAATTACTTTATGCCTATTTACTCATTTAAATCAGGGCTTTGGGTATGACCCCTGGCAGAGAATCTGCCTGTCCACCTAATTACAGATTCACAGATACACATAATGCGAATCACCTGGGCATATTGCTAAACCTCAGATTCTGGGATGAAAGTGCCAATTCTCGGGGGGCGGGGGTGCTTTTGACCAAAATGAACGAGTCTGAAGCCCTCCTTTAAACTTGTCAAATCAAGGTGCTTTAGCCTCCTAAACAAAAAGGAACACGGCTAATGTAAAAGTCGGTCCATTTATTAAAAACCAGCCTCAGTACATTCACGAAACTAAACATGGGTCTTCCCAGTGATCATAGTTATTTGAAAACAGGACCAACTAGCAATAATTTATTAAAAACTATTAACAGTGCCCTTCTGGCACCAGCTGGTAAGGGTTGGATTGCCAACCTTAAGGTCAGTGGTTCCAATCTACTGGTTACTCCTCAACATGAGAAAAGTGAGGCTGTCTGCCTCCATGAAGCCTCAGAAACAGCGGACACCACGTGTGTGCAACAGCCCCATGGCCAGTTTAGTTTGGTTTGATGTCCCCTTCACAGGCGCTGGCTCATGAACAGGACCTACTTTCTGGGTGGGCAAAAGAACCCTCTGAGGTGCAGTCTCATCCGCTGCTAACGGGTCTCTCTGGCTCCGGTGGACCAGGTGAAAAGACACAGCTTTCTTTTTCTCTATGAAGGGTTTTTTCTTCCTGTGAGGCTTCAAAGGAAAAGAATCAGGGTAAGTCATTAAAACAAGACATTTTTAAAAAGTTAGCTATATTATAGTTCAGAAAAGAACCTTCAAACAAGTCAATGTCGATGATTAGCAGTTTTAATCCCTACCCTTCTAAGCTATCCTGCATCACCTGTATATTCTATCTAAAGGATTTCTACTTCTCTTCCTTCCACCAGGATTGAGAACCTATTCTGTGCAGGCCTGGTTATGGACACGGGGAATACAGCAGCCGACAAGCCAAAGTCCGGTTTTAACAGACAAGAGAAAGCAAATATGTCAGGGGAAGAAAACTAAACAGTGATAGCAGATGTGAATGACTGGAGCTTCAGACTGGGTATGCTAGGAAGGTCCCTGACAGGTAGAACCAGAATGACAATGAGCTGGCCACCAGAAAGCTGGAGTGGGGACAGTTCCCATTGGGTGAAGACTTCATGTACAAACTACTAAACAAAACTATCAACCAAACAGCTCGTGCTAAACACGGGGCACCATCCCCATCTACGTTCTTTTTTTCACTAGTCACCCCATTTTCTAAACCACTGTCCCTGTAAGACTAGGTAGGGGGTCTTACTTTGGGCACAACCTTAGTTCCTCCCACAGTTTCCTTTCTCCAAAGCAGGCAGGCGGGTCGGCTGCCTTCCAATCCCTGGGTAAAGTAGAAACGCTGCCCGAACTCCGTAAAGCACCAGTGTGTTCTTTGTCAAGGGGCTTTAGTGTACCAAAGGCACGCAAGACTGCAGGTCTGTGGAGGGCATTCGCTTTGGCCCATTCCCTAGGGAGAATCGGACACAGGAGACCCAAACTAAACTGCAAAATGTCATCTGAGTGTTGCGAGAGCCCTAGACCAGGAGCTGGTTTAAGTGCTGCTGCCTGCCCGCACTTCCGGACTCGCCTCGCCGGGGTCTAGAGGCCTCCCTGTCCTTAGTCGCGGCGGCCACAGCGGGACCAGCCCAGAGCGCCCTGCTGCCGAGGCAACGAGGTCTTCCTTACCATGTCGTGGCGGTGCGCAGCTCGCCCCAAGAACCGTGGAGGCTACGCTCTAAAAGCCCCGGCCACCGACAGTGCTCGACCCTTGCCTGCGTTTCCAGTCCCAAACACACGTGGAACCCCCCCCCCCGCAGTCGCAGACAATGCCGTCACGCCCCCGGCCGTGGAAGCGGACCAATCACCGAAGAGCTTATGGGCGGGGACCGGAAGTTACGTAAGTACGCGCGCCCGGCAGGCTCTCCAGAAGCCGCTGGGAGGTGGGGCTAAGCCGGTTCCCACCCCTGGGCCTGCGGATTCCTCTCGGCCGGGTTTAACCCTCTCGGGGAAGGGAGTCGCTCTCGCCTTAGCCAGGTGGAGACACAAAACTTGTCTCTGAGGCTGTGGGTGGGGTGGCTTCGTGGGACAGCTTGCTTGTGTAGCGCCCTCAGTGGAGAGCTCTGTTTGACGCATTCAGCGTCCCCATGGACAATTTTACCCAGTGCCTTTCCCCCAACCGGAACAAAACAAAACCGTGTGCAGGAAGGAAAGGTGGCCACCCTCCCTAGCCGCCCTGGTTTCAGGTTTCTATGGCTCCCGGCGGTGCAGAGCCGGTTGCCTTAGTAACGTAGGATCTTGGGGGCTCTGATATTTCGGGCTATACCAAGCTCTTTTATTTTCCACCCTTGAATGGCCTGCGTTCAAAATGTCCCGTTCACACAACCCTCAAGGATGGCCGTTAGAGGCTTTGGAACTAGTGAAGTATATTCAGAATCTTACTAGGTGTTTGTGCACCTTAATTTATGAGGTGGAAAATGAATATTTATTCTCCTCTAAGTCGTTCCTCTAATGTTTTCAAGTGGCTTGAGCAAACAGTCTTTGAGCACACGTGGACCAACTTAACAGCTCTTGTGCAAGAGAAGGTGTCGAATGCACTCAGTTATATCAGCAGGCCTTTTCTCACATTTGTGCTTTTTCCGCCTGTGTAGTTTCTGGCATCTTTTCAGGGTCTATTACTTTGACATGTGTCTTAATGTCTTACATGTTACCACTGTAGATATTTAAGAAAATGTGTTGTTTTATTAGAATAAAACGTAAACGATGTGTAGGTTAAGATTTGAGATACTGCTTTGGAACGAACTTGGAGATGATGTGCTCCTATGTGCCAAACATTTATTATGCTATTTGTTTTCTAGAATTAAGCCCATGAGGTCTTTTTGTGTTGTTTTTAATGGCTTGTATTTGCTGCTGTATCTATCTTCAGGGCCTAGAACAGCGGCACATATACTCAAGAGTATATGTTCAAATCAGCTAGTGCCCGGGCACTGTATATGGATAATCAGAATATGAGGCAGGTGCCCTTATCTTCATCATCTTTCAAATGATACACCCGAGGCATGAGGAAACAGAGGCTTTATCACTCTAAATTTTCTGTATAATAAAAATAACCAAATACAAAACCCAGAGATAGAAGATGTTTAATTACCTTTCTAGATCACAGGGTTGGTAAATGGCAAAGCCAGGGTTTTAACCTAAGGAATCTGACTAGAGCCAAGGACCCACATAATAAGGGCTCAGTAAGATTACACCATTCAAACCACTGCACATATACTGCTTAAGGTCTCTGGAGGGCTTGAATGGTTTGTGCACCACCACTAACTTCGAAGTTGGTGTTTGAACTCAATAATTCCTCACAAAAGGATTTCAGGACATAGGTTATCATTCTATTACCCATTTTTACAGATTAGAAATTGAGGAACAGCAAATTAAATGGCCTTTGTTCATGTTCACAGAGTGATGAGGCCGGAACGTGAACCCCGTGCTACAGCTTGAGAGTCACACCCTTAAACTGTTAGAATTGACCTCATTCCAAAAAGTTGACTCGACCTTTCTTGTGCCAGAGATTCTTCTGAGTGCTGTGCTAGGGGGGTTTTAAGTTTCGGGGGAAAATGGAATGAAAAGTTAACAATAGAAAAATACAAGTTTGGTTTCTCAAGATAAGCTCCGTCGGTTCATGGAACATTTGTAAGCGTTCATACCAGCTGTTTACCTATTCCTGAAGAAACAGGAGAATGGATGCATTTGAACTGCAGTGCTGGAGAAGAATATTGAAAGTAGCATGGACTGCTGAAAGGACAAACCGATCTGTGTTGGAAGAAGTAAGGCCAGAGTGCTCCTTAGAAGCAAGGATGGCAAGACTTTGTCTTACAGACTTTGGAAATATTGGCAGGAGAGACCAGTCCCTGGAGAAGGACATCGTGTTTGGTTAAGTGGAGAGATGTCGAAAAAGAGGAAGGCCCTTGATGAGATCAGTTGACACAGTGGCTACCTCAATGGGCTCAGGTGTATGAACAATTGTTTGGATGACACAGTACTGTGCAGAGTTTTGTTCTGTTGTGCATAGGGTCACTGTGGGTCAGAGCTGACTCAATGACAACAACAGCAAAGAACTGACGGTCAAAGGAAATTAACCATGCCAATGCATTCTTTTATTACATTATTCACTGAAGAAAGTGGGTGTTCTTTAAAGGTTTTTTTTTTTAAACAAAAAATTCAGAAGAGCTGATCCAGGACTATAACGTGAATGCCTAATGATTTCCTATCAAACTCTCCAAGAATTGCCCTTGTTTGATCAGAAGAATTAGCAGGAACATTGTTGTACTGGAGAGGGACTCTCTGGTGAAGGCTTCTCGGGTGTTTTTCAGCCTATGCTTTGGCTAACTTTCTCAAAACACTTTCACAATAAGCAGATGTTCTTGTCCTTTGGCCCTCCAGAAAGTTGATAAGGCAAATGCCTGGACCATACCAAAAAGCGGTTGCCATGACTTTTGCTTTGACCTGAACACTTTCCCATCTTGTTCTGATTGTGCTTTGTCCTCCAGATCACACTGACAAAACCATGCTTCCACTCCTATTACAATTCTTTGAAGAAATGCTCAGGATCTGGATCTCACGTGTTTAAAATTTCCATAGAAACCTCTGCTCTTGGGTCTAGATAAAGATGTATATATGCAAATATATTTATATGAGGATGGGGAAATAGATCTATGAGCCTATATTTATAGGTTTAGTATTAAGGTAGCAGAAGGACATTGGGCCTCCACTCAAGTACTCCCTCAATGCAAGAATACTTTCTTCTATTAAATTGGCATTCTATGATGCTCACCTTCCCGACACAACAGCTGAAGACAAAGCAGGTGAATAAGCAAATGTGGTGAAAAAAGCTGATGGTGCCTGGCTATCAAAAGATATAGCATCTGGGGTCTTAAAAGCTTGAAGGTAAACAAGTGACCATCAAACTCAGAAGCAACAAAGTCCACGTGGAAGAAGCACACCAGCCTGTGCAACCACGAGGTGTCGAAGGGATCAGGTATAAGACATCATCAGAACAAAAATTCTTACCATAGTGAATGATGGGGGAGTGCGGAGTGGAGACCCAAAGCCCATTAGTAGGCCACTGGAGATCCCCTTGCAGAGGGGTCTCGGGGAGGAGATGAGCCAGTCAGGGTGCGATGTAACAACGATGAAAAATACAACTTTCCTCTAGTTCCTAAATGTTTGTTCCCCGCTCCCACTATCATGACACGAATTCTACCTTGCAAGTCTGGATAGACCAGAGGATGTACACTGGTACAGATAGGAACTGGAAATACAGGGAATCCAGAGCGGATGATCCTTACAGGACCAGTGGTGTGAGTGGCGATACAGGGTGGATAGAGGGAGAGTGGGTGGGAAAGAGGGAACCAATTACAAGGAACTATATGTGACCTCCTCCCTGGGGGACGGACAACCGAAAAGTGAGTGAAGGGAGACGTCGGACAGGGCAAGATATGACAAAATAACAATTTATAAATTATCAAGGGCTCATGAGGTAGGAGGAAGCAGGGAGGGAGGGGGAAATGAGGACCTAATGCCGGGGGTTAAAGTGGAGAGGAAATGTTTTGAGAATGATGAGGGCAATGAATGTACAAATGCACTTTACACAATTGATGTATGTATGGATTGTGATAAGAGTTGTATGAGCCCCTAATAAAACGATTCAAAAAAAAAGAAACCTCTGCTCTTGTCTAACTTGGGGACAACTGCTTTGGAACCCATCAAGTAGAAAATCTGCTCAACTTTAATAATATTCTCGTCAGCATTGTGTAAGCAGAACCAATTGAGATGTCTATGGTGTTGGCTGTGGTTTCTGCTATTAGCGTTGTTAATCCTTTTTCATCAGGGCATGCGCGGATGTCTTCTCAAAAATGGATGTAGATGGCCCGCAGCTGTGGACTTCATCTTCAATATCATCTTGTCCTTTCCTAAAATGAGATATCCAGTTGTCAATTGCTGATTTCTTTAGAGCGTTGTCCCCATAAACTACTCATACGATTGGTTTCATAAACTACTCATATAAGAATGATTTCACCATTCTTCCACCCACACTTCATCATAACTTCACAGTTTGTTGCTTCGATTTTAGCAGAAGTCATGTTCCTCTGATGATGATGATGTTGTTAGATGCAGGCAAGTTGGTCCCAACTCATAGCAACCTTATATACAACTGGTGCGATTCTTTCCTAACTGATAGATTATCTTTAGTGCTCCAAACTAGATACTGCTCAGACATAACAAGGTCATAAACTAATATAACAAGGTAATATGAAATTATGTGAATGCAACTTTTTTTAATCCACACATAGCTTTTCCATGAACCTTTTAAAGACTCCATGGGGATATACATCATGTTTGTTCTTTATTGCCATCTACCCCTATCTCTGCTTCATGGCAATCTGTGAACAACAGAGTGAAATACTGCCTGGTCCCATGCCATTCTTATGATCACTGACATGCTTGACTTTTTTTGCTGCCTTCCAGCCTAGGAGACTCATCGTTCAGTATGATAATGGACAATATTCTGTTGAGAGTCACAGGGTTTTCATTGCTTAAGTTTCAGAAGTCAGCGGCCAGCCCTTTCCCCCTATTCCACCATAGTCTAGGAGCCACTAACGCTGCTGGTTGACGGTGCTGGTATGTGAAATTTCAGTGGCACTGCGCCAGCATCACAGCAAGAACACAAGCTGCCACGGAAGGACAAACTGATAGACAGGTGGTGGGAATGTATATTGGGTCATTT